GTCTTCACCTAGGCGCAAATTACCGGAAACAGTCAGAGACTGCAATAGTTACTGATACTGCTGAACGGAAAATCAGTCTTCGCCTAGTCGCAAATTACCGGAAACAGTTTCCTGAGCCATCAAAATCATCCCTTATGTCGTAGTTTTTGATTTTAGTGTTTAATATTATTGATTTTCCTAATATACCACCTCTAAATGTTAGCCGATTTCAAAAAAAAATTGTGTACTACCCATTTAGGTATCATAGAATTAAAAAAAAACATGGGTAAATAAAGTATTTTTTCTACTACCACCTTTAAAACGCCCTTTATCGTACATGTTTCCATGACACTAACTGACCTTTTAAATACACATTGACAAGTTGTGGCTTTATGGCGCTTTAGTCACGGGCTGAAGCTAGCAACAGGTTTTAAGTTAGTTGACAGTTGTCAAATGTCATACAATCGTTAAAATAAAGTGCCTTTCTTGTAAAATAATACTAAATGTGAAAATTATTTTATTATCTCAATACAAAAATACAAAAAGAATTTAATGGTTTCTCAACGCCAATATTTGAAAAGTTTATATGAACATTGTACTGACCTTTTAATTTCGCCGGCAGTAAACTATAACTTAAATTCGGATACGGACTCCAATGTAAAGTGCTCATAAAACATTTTCTTTACTTTCACTGTGAAAACAAATTTTCAAGAAATACATTTCCATTAATAACCTTTATAATCTGTGTTTATAAAATAAAAAAATTTGACATTTGACGGTGACACACAGATTTCCCTATTGTTTCATAGATGGCGCTCTATACAAATTTTAAGATAATAATAAGTATTTGTCGTAGAAAAAGTATAGTATGCACCTCGTTTATAAACTTATCCAGGGCCGAGCCAACCCAGGGTGCAAAGGGTGCACTGCGCCCGGGCGGCAACTATCGAGAGGCGGCATTTTAGAAAATATTTGTACAGAAAGTGACGGTAAACTTTTTAATATTGTAATTGATTCTGATCCAAGTGCATGGTCTACACCTTTATCAGACAAAATAAGGTTAGTGCTAGTAGAAAAGGGTAACCTACTAAATAAGAAAACAACTTATCCCAAAGGCGCTAGCCCTAGAAGTTATTGAAATAAATATTTTTTAAAAACTTTACCAAATGGTGAATCCGTTCAACGCACTTGGATATTCTAAAAAATATACTCTGTGTTTTGTTTCCCATGTAAGTTATTTGGGAAAGCATCTAGTTCTTTGGGGCTAGATGGATTTCGAGATTGGCAACATTTATCGCGAACCTTAAGCCGACATGAAAGTTCTAATGATCATATTAAATGTTGCGACAAAATGATTCAATTACAAACTTCATTAAAGTGTGGCTCAACAATAGATTATTTACAGGAAAAACTAATTAACACTGAACAGAAAAGATGGTGTTCTGTTTTAAAAAGAATAATATCAGTTATTAAATTTTTAGCTATGCAAAACCTAGCTTTTAGGGGTAGTTTTAGTAAATTATTTTGTAATGTTACACGTTAGACGTCTAACTCGCAGCAGAGCAGCAACAGCAGCCCAGCAGATAAGACCTGAATATGGTACATGAGATTGTACCGAAACGTCGTCAGACATACGGTTCTTTTAAAAACCAAAAACCGACAACACGGAGCAGATCCCGAAAAACCACTAATACATACATAATAATTTTATTAAGTTAAAATAGTGTTTTTAAGATTTTTTTTCCTTTAAGGAGCGGCAAGCTTTTAATTGCACCCGGCGGCAAAAATACTTGGTGCGGCCCTGAACTTATCTATACACTCATTAATTTAAGCACTAAATTAAATTCGTGTATAAAATAGCGTTTATCAAACTTGATAGTATCAAGTTGATACATAATATAGGTACTATAAAACTTTTATTTTTGAACTACTTGTAGATACCTACTAATTGAAATTTTTCTATATTTATTTATGAGTAAGTGGCATCTAAATATTAGCTAAATTTACTGTCACTTATTAATTTCTTCAATTTCAGAGGGTTTGAACCTCCTAAACACCACAGTCTAGAAATTATCCTAAACTAAATATTTTGGAAAATGTTAGTTCTAATGCCGGTTTTACACCAAACCGACTAGTTGAGTTGCTGTTTTAAAAAACAAAAACTCAACTGTTTTTAACGATAAAACTGTTCACACTAAACAGACAAAAATTAGTTGCTGTCGAGTTTTTGTTTTTTGTCGAGAAACAGTTGCAGTTTTGTTTAGTTCTATTCAGAAAGTACATGGTTGTTCATTATTTTATATTATTTATTTAAAAAAATTAACATGGATAGTGACGAGGAACTCTTTTTTTCTCGTTTGCGGTTGGCTGTTGGTACGTGATTTAGAAAAAAAAAGAAAACGTCGTACACGCAGGTATTGGGTGAGATCCTTATTAAATAGAAGGAAATATGATGGTGGTGCAAAGATGTTATATACTTATTCTTTTTTGATAAATAACCTTGCCGCGACTGTCAACATGACAAAAACACAGCTCGCCGCAACTCAAGTTGATAACAGACGTTTACACCAAGCCGACTGAGTTGCAAAAAACGCAGCAACTCTTTGAAGTTACCGATATCGATCGGGAAACGAAAAACACAACAGCAACTGTTGAGTTGCCGAAAAATCTTCAAAAAATCTGCAAAAAGTTGCGGTTTTGTTTTTTTCAACTCGAATTGCTGTTTTGTCGGTTTGGTGTAAAACCGGCATAACAAATGGATTAAGCGGGTTTAATGTTTCTTTAAAATTGGAATTGTATTGTATTTAAAAACTTCTACTTTTTGGGTGTATGTGTAGCTTTAACGTAACCGCGTGTTGAATTCAATACGTTGACGTTATAATACCAGATTAAATCTAAGTGCTAACCAGTTTTCACCGGTTTTAACGATTTAACAGACCTTTAAATACCTGTTAAGAAGTACACTATTATTGATATTTTAATGAATGAATCTACTTAGTGGATTAGGTATGCATACTATTATGCAATATCTAAAAAGTAATTTTTTTTTCTGAGATATAACGATTCGAAAAGTTGTAAAATTTATATTCGTCATAATATGCACACGTTTCCACGCCCCCTATGAGGTAGTGTACTTAGCGCGTTTTTTAACGTGGTTTCCCCAGTAGGCCTATTCCACGGGTCAGTTGTGATCCTGTTTAATTTCAAACTATTGCAAAATAACGGAAATTAGCAATTATTGGAAAAGATAAAAGCGATGTAAATTAAAAAAAAGGACTGAAGTTAATTCGTCTGATTCGTAACATTTAAATTCTTATTCTTCTTCTTGTTATTGTTCTTGTTCTTCTTGTTCTTCTTCTTCTTCATCTTCATCCTGAGTACAAGTAAATTGCATCAGTAGCGATGTATCGCATGTCACCTCGTTGGAATTAAATGAATCCTCCACTGTTGGTGATTCAACATTAGAGCACGAGCGGCCTTGATAATTCGTACATACCAGAGAATAAAACAATCCGACTTTTTTGCAACCACATTTAGCACTGCATCCCTTTTTGCAGTTGCAAAAGTTTAATATACCCGAAAAAGATGATGAGCAGCAACTGAGGTTGGAGGAAGACAAGCTAATTGAACTTGTTTTTTACTTTTAGTATTTTTAACGAAACATGCATATCGATACTTATCAAAGCAGGTAGTTTTTTCAGGAGCTTCGTATATATAAAGAAGAAATCGAATGCCGTTGGTGATAACTTCTTGTCCCGAAGCACCTTTTCCTCGAGTTTGGCCGAAAAATCTCCGCTCGTTCGAAAAGTTAAGCGAAGACAACGGAAAAATCGAAAAAAAGTGGACTTGGGCCTTTTCAACACCGGAAAAATTTGGTCCGCGGATAGGTCTGGTGGGCAGAAAAAAGGATGCAAATTTCGAGTGTCCACCTTCAACGGCCTCCGTGCTACGGCGCTTAGAAAAAAAAGGATATACAGACTAACAGTCACACAGAAGCGAAAATGGAAATTTTTGCAGTCGAAACTAAAAATATCCAAATCAATAATTTTCTTCAAAAATTTATTGCATCTAGTAGGTAAGGCATCTAGATATGTCAAATGAATATTATAATGCGTCAAATCCAAATGACATTACGCTGTCAATAATTTCAATTGAACAATTTCACATTGTATTGTTTATATATTTTTTGATATAATCACGAACTTATTATATTATTCAGATATTGGTTTTATTTTTTTGAAGTGTGAGGCATGAATATTATACCTGGAGGTAAGTAATATTAATTTATATAAGAAAATTAAGTAAATTTTGATTTCTTTGAATCCATAAAGTGACTTCATTAAAGGCTTTATTTTTGTATATTATTACGTAATTCAGTGAAGGATTTGGTTGCTGATCGAAAGCGATCGAGTAAAGTTATTTTTATAAATTATTGCCTACATTAGTCGTTTATGAGTCGCAATTAAAAAATCTTGCGGAAGGTTGCAGGTTTACTCAAAAAATATTGTTTTTTAAAAGACTTCAGTTCAAAAGTCAAGTTATTATATACCTCCATTGGAGGTCCTTCAATAACAATAATAATGACATTTTATATGTCAGTTGACCCTAACCTAAAAATGATGTTACAAAATCTCAAAAATATATTCTGATTAAATGCTTGTTAAAAATTAAAATTATAGATAAATTTGTCATTTTTTCCTTTAACTACTATAGTCAGTTTTTAAATTCTAGAACTCTAAGCTTTTTGCCCACTCTTGCATAAATTACTGTTTAGTTTTACCTACTTTTTTAATATTGCAGGTTCGCGTAGTAGAAGCGCATCTTTTAGCCGAAATTTCCTATGGAATATCCTTAAAAATTGTCCTCTAAAAACCCACAAAGAAAAATGTCAGCATCTGTATCTAGAAATTGAAAACATAATAAAAATAGGTCTTTCGAAAAAAGCCAAACAAGTGTTAGCACATTTCGCATCAGAGTTCAAGAATAAGTGGGAATCTGCTTCAAGGAAAACAGAAGATTTTATGCGAAAAAATACAAGTTGGCTTGAAACCTGCATTCATATTAATTTAGAGGATGAACAAACTGTGAGTCTAGAAAAACAATCCTGTGGACGTCCATCCAAGGACTTTTTGGACAGCAGTGAAAGAGTAAAAAGGCGAAAGACCGAAGAACTTAGGACTCAATATAGTTCTTCTGAGCTAGGGTTTGCTGCACAAATGCAGTTACGGGCAGAAGGAAAACTTGATGCAGCGAATATTGTAAAGGATGCCATCTTTTTAGATCCATCATGTGCCTCTAGATACAGAAACGCATATTCCCAAAGTTTAAATTCTGTTATACCATATTCAACCGATCAAGCTTTATCGTTATTTGTTGAAGCGAAGTTAACTAAGTATCAGTATAATCTTTTAAGAAATTCATCAAAAGAAAATAATTGCAAATTATACCCAAACTACGAATCTGTAACTGCTGCTAAAAAGAAATGTTATCCAAAAAATATTTCAATAAGTGAGGTAAAGGCAGAATTTCCCCTTCAAGACCTTTTGGATCATACTATTTCTAGAATCTTTGAAGTTCAAGAAGATGTGTTTAATACTTATTCTGAAAATGTTCAGTCAAATTCTAATTTAACTCTAATTTCAAAGTGGGGCTGTGATGGCAGTTCTGGTATGTCAGAATATAAACAAAAGTTCGAAGATGATGGGAATTCTGATGCCAGTATATTTTTGGCATCATTGGTGCCCATACAATTAGTTTCAGAAAAAGATGTAATTCTGTGGCAAAACCCGCGCCCTTCATCTCCAAGATTTTGCCGTCCAATATATATGGAATATGTTCACGAAACAACTGAAATTATTAAACGAGTTTCAGGAAAAATTCAAGAACAAAAATCAACTTTAGAACCAAGCAAAATTCAATTTAATGGTCAGAACATCAGTATTAAGCACAGTTTAGTATTTACTATGATTGACGGAAAGGTGGTCAATGCTATATCGGAAAACAACTGTACACAAAAATGCTACCTCTGCGGCTGTACGTCTAAAGATTTTAATAAAATCGACTTAATTTTGAAGAAAGAAGTCGATAAATCAAAATTAGAGTTCGGCATTTCTTCTCTTCATGCCTGGATTCGTTTTCTTGAGTGTGTTTTACACTTGTCTTATTAACTAGTAATAAAGCAGTGGCAAGCTCGAGGAGAAGAGAACAAAAGGAAAGTGGCTGAAAATAAAACTAAAATTCAAGCTGTACTGAAGTCCCAGTTAAGCCTGTTAGTCGACAAGCCAAAGCCTGGTTTTGGTAGTACGAACGATGGGAATACAGCCCGTAGATTTTTCGAAAATCCCTCGAAATCGTCACAGATAACGGGCATATCAGAAGAAATTATTCATCGCTTTAAAACTATTTTGTTAACTATATCCAGTGGATTTAAAATTAACGTTTTAATGTTTGAAATTTATTGCCTAAAAACTGCGAGAAAGTTCGTGGAGCTGTATCCGTGGTACCCTATGCCAACCACAGTCCACAAGATTTTAATGCATAGCTCTCAAATTTTAGCAGAAGCAATACTTCCAATAGGTCAATTGGGGGAAGAAGCTCAAGAAGCTAGAAATAAGGATATTAAGAGGTACCGTAAAAGTCATGCTAGAAAGTTTTCAAGAATTCAAAATTTAGAAGATGTATTTAATGGGCTTTTAGTATCTTCAGATCCATATATTTCGAGCTTAAGAAAGTTACAAAAAAAAAAATTAAAAAGCTACGATGAAGATGTCCTTAAGCTTTTGGATGAACCTACAACTTATAAAAAATCTGTCAGTTCAGATGAAAATATTGAAGAAGAGATTAGAGAGTAATTAAGCTCTGTATTCCTTTTAAACCTATTAAATGTTATTATGTTAATTAATGTTAATTTTTATTATTTACTTTTTATTAAAATTTCACCTTCTGTTTCTGGAAATACATTCCAGTGTTTATTTTATTCTTCTTAATTAGGTCTTAAGTGCTTTATATACGTGAAACAGTCAAAGATACGTTATTTTGAGCATATTTTTTTTGTGCCAAATAAGTGCCTAAAAATGTTTGCATCATTTTATCGTTTGTTAATCAACTCAAAAAAATAATTATAAAATATTGTAATTACATTTTTAAAATATTTTGGGCTATTAATAAACTTGTCATGTTCAATGACTATAGTCATATCATATCTTACGCTTTTTAGCATAGTCATTAAACATTAAGAAGTGACAAGTTTGTTAATCGCAAATATTTTAAGTACATATATAATTACAATACATTATAATTTTTAAACTTTTTCAACAATTAGGTATTTATTTTTTAGTAAAAAATTGGTTTTTTAGTTACATCTGCCCTATTGAAATTATAATGACGTCACGTACGTAACGCAGAATACGTATTCTGCTTGGAAACCCCTTTCATTTGATACCCATATCAAGGGGGTTGTAAAGAAAAAAAGAATTAACCATATTGGAGTGGCAGCCATTTTGAATAAATTATAATAAACAGTATACTAGATTGTTCTGTCACCAAAACAAAAAGTGTTCAAAATTTTAGAACAATCGGTTGGGTGGAAGTAGGTTAAAATCGATTTCATAGATTTGTTTACTAGTTGCCTGAGCGTGTAAAAACAATTAAATTCGATTAAAATTTTTATTTTTTTAGCTTTTATATTTTTTAAAGTAAATCACGTCATTTTAAAATTAAAAAATAGTTTCGACCACACATTTTGGATTTTTCGCCTCTGTGAGTCAACGGAAAAAATAAATATTGCAAACGGGCCGGATCCGCCGGAAACTTTTCGAACAGCGATCTTTTTTTATTTTTTTCGAAAAAATTTTAAAAGTTTTTAAGGCGAGAGAAATTTTCGAAATTGGCCGAACGAAATACACGAATCGACGGGTAAAAGACCAAAGTTTGACATACTAAAAGATGGGCATTGTCACACGCCCCCCCCCCCGCTTTTACGCCCCTGAGTACCTACTATAAACATTTCGTGAAAACAAACGTTTGTCGACACGATCGTCACATATCACTTTTAGAAATCCTACTACGTAGTAAGTACTAGGTGGCTATCATTTTTTTCTTTCAACTTCTCCCTTAACTTTTCTAGAATATAATGTAAAACAACTACGGGCCAATGTTCTGTTTCAATATTGGACCATGCTAGAAAAAATCTGACGAAAGATATATTGGCCCAATATTATTACGAATAATGGGCTAATATGTTTGTGCTACTGGGGTAATAACAATATATTATAATAATTATTAATGTTAGAGTTTGTTAATGCTTTTCTTCTCATGAAGTAAAATAACAGTAAATACATCGTACTACATATATATATATATATACTATAGTACACAGTACTTCATACCCATACATGTATTTAAATAATTACATTTAGATTAAGTTATTTTTTTCAATTCATTGTCTGCCTTTTTAACAAAAATACCGTACCACCGAGAATTTTGACATTTTTTTTTAAATTTTATTGATCTTGGGAAAATATTTTCTCTGATAACCATTTTTTTATCTAGCCAATTTAAAAAATAGTTGTTTAACAAAAAAAATATAAATACACACAGTTTTTTGTTTTTCAGTTTATATTTTGTTTCAATTTTGTTAATACCCTCTTAACTTTTACTCTGCTTTTTATTATTTCTTTGAATATTTTCCATAATAACATATTATGTAAAAATTTGAACCGCTATCTATTACAAACCTTAACTTACACTTCTAAAGATACAGACCTAAAGGTAGAACTTGTAAAAGTAAAAATAATAAAATAAAATGCGCATTTACTAAATGTGCCAAATATCATACTAAATAAAATGATCAAATTTTGTATCTAGAGACAATAGGTATTAAAATATTGTGTAAATTAGTTATAAAAAATAAAGTAATAAGTTTATGTTAGAAAAAATAAAGCATTTTTTTTTTAATTAAAATTAATTTGTATAAAATAAATTAGCATAAGAGTGTGTCATTTCATAAAATGATTTGCCAAATTAATGATAATTGATGTAAATAGGATCACTTGTACATTGACTTTAAATTTTAGACTGTGACGCACATTTTGGCTATCTGTTTGTGACGCATTAAGTACCAAACAATTTTAGTACCGTCAACCGGGGCTAAATGGATCAAAAATATCCTTTTATTCAAATTAGTTCCAAAACTATTCGAAATTTTTGCCTGAAAATTGGAATGTACATTTCTTGGTTACTCAGCTATGCATTGACCATTTGCCTACATTGTAACTCTTTCAATGACCTATTTTTTTATATATATATAGTGATCCACTTTACCCATAGTTTGGGGTAAAGTGGATAATCCATTAAAAATCACACAAATTTCACTTTAAACATATGCTGGGTAAAGTGGATCACAATTAAATAATAATTTTAAAAAAAATTTGGGAAAAAGCAGTGTAAATCATTAAAATCAATGAAAAACTTCAAAAATAAGGGAAAAACAATATAAATAGTTCAAATCACTGAGAAACTTTAAAATAGGTATTTTATTCTCACAGTCTCAGTCTATAGTCTAAATAAAGTCAAAATACATGTCTTTATCAACAAAAAAAAATTAAATTCTATTGGTACCTATAGAATTTTTTTGACGATCTCGAGATCCACTTTGCCCCAAGAGGTGACATCAGTGGATTAAAAAAATCCCACACGGACTCCCCTTTAAGACACAAAGGTCTTGACTGTTTATTATTTTAAGTCAAAAGTTAGGTTATTGATATGCAATTGTCAAATACTCATAAATATTAACATATCGCCTGTGCAAATAAACGAATTTTGACATTTCGATAAATGTACATTTCTGAATTTTAGAACATATATTGTTTTAAGCAAACTTATTTTTGTTTATGAAAATTAACGCATATAAGCCCAACCACCATTGTGTATTAGACTGACTTGCGCCGACAAAATTCGCAATCACGTTACAGGTTCGCGACTGCGCATTTTAATATTACGTCAGGAAGTTGTCATCCACTTTACCCCAGCAGATCCACTTAGCCCCGTTTGACGGTACTTTCCATTAATTTTAAACAACTTAAGTTAAAATAATAACTATTTAAAACATGTCAAATACATAACTTGACTTTAAATTATTAAAATAATATGTAACTAAATTTATAATTAGGTATGTAAGTACTTATTTTAGTGAACACACCCATTTTCGTCTATAATTAACCTAAAAAGATAAAGAAATCGCAAATATACATACATATGCTTATATTTTGAACACTGTTACATAAATTATATGTTTTCAGGTACGGACTAACATATATTAAAATAGTTTACACAACGTTGTCACCAAGAAGGGACAGGGGGTCATCTGTCCCCCTAGTGACCCGAAAAATTGTTACTAAATGTTAGGTCCATAGGCCTATGGTCAGGTCACTTATTCTGCGATTAATAATTTCTATAGCAGTTTGGGAGTAATTAACGCTTTTCTAAAATAAAGAACAAGAAAATATGTTTTTTTTTTGTCGAATTTATTTTAAATCAGCTTTTTAACTATTTTGATTAAAAAAATATTAAAATTCATTTAATTCAACAAATTTAAACCCATTAAATAATTTATTAATTCAAAAAAATAACCGGCAATTTGGTTTTAATTCAATGATAATAATCTTTGAGTACGTTAAATTGCATTCTTTTACCCTTCAATGAATTTTTTTGTTTGCCCAATTTCCTTTCTGAAAATTTTTTACGGATCAAAATTTTTAAGGAACACAATTTAATGATCGTCCCGAAGCAACTTTTTTTTAAATTTTGATTTCCGGTAAACAGATAATTGGAAAGAAGATTTAAAAAAAATGGATTTGGAAAAATTTGGTCAAGAAGTAGGTTTTAATTGAGGGTCAATTGATACATTTAAAGAAACATCTACACAGTAAAAAAAAATTATCTCTAAGCAACACTAATTAGAGTTCACACAGGTCCACACTAAATAGTGTTGTTTTATAACACTATAATTAGAGTTAATTTGTAGTGTAATTTTCCCCAAGTAAGCAAGTATGATTTAACACTATAGCACTGAGGATAAAGTAATTTTACACTGTATTAAACAGTGTTAATTTACCTAAAATCGTGTACAACACTTCCTGGGTAAAATCCCACTTTTGTTCAGTGTAAA